TTCTTCACTATGGCTCAGAAATTCAGCTGTCACTTCCCCCAGCTAAAAGAGAAAATTTTTCTATGAATTTATATCCCTAAAGGAAACAATGTTTATTAAAAGATACAAAGTTTTCTGTAACTTCGGGGAAAGTGATACATAATCTTGTGAACTATAGTGAAGAAAAAAAAAAGGCTGGCATTTGCATTTAAAAATCAGCGTCGACATACACTTTGTATTGCGAAAAAAATTATTAACAATTGTGTAAACCGAGGCATTATTTTCAATGGATTTTCATTCATAAACCAAAAAATTACGTTAACCGAGGTGTTGGGATACCGAGGTACGCCTGTATTAGCATTGCAATCCTTTGTATTGAGATACATAGAACCAACATACATGTGAATTGGAAACATAGCACAACATTTGTGTCACATTTGAGATATCTGGCTAGTTACACTGACCTTGCCCAGGGACTTAGGGTTGATTCACACCACAGAAATATGGGCAGGATTAGTGTTCAACAGCTCCGTGGATTAGTGGTTAGCACTGCTGCCTCACAGCGCTGTGGTTGTTGGCTTGAATCCCAACCACGGCAATAAATTTGCATGATCTCCCTGGGTGTCTAACATACATGTGCTGGTGGCAGCATCTTTGATTTCTGTCTAAATGATCCCTAGAATGTGAATTAGAATGAGGCCTTGTCTGTTCAAACACCTTTAAAGTTGCACCTCATGTGAATGTCAAACGATGGGATGAGATAAGGGCCTAGACTAATGATTGATTTGATAATGCTGGTTTGCACTCCACCCCCAAGAAAGATTAAAAAAAAAAAAAATAAGAAAATAATAGCATGGAGTCCCCCCCCCCCCCCAAATCCATAACAGGCCCTTATCCGAGCATGCAGATACCGCATGCGGATACCTTCACAGATTTATTTCCTTTGTTGAATTGCCTGCTTGGTTCACACTTATGCGAAAAAATTGTGCATTTTGTTGGCAATTTCAATGTGTTTTCTGTAGATTTACCAATGAGTTATTGCGTTTTCAATTGTGTTTTGCATTGCGATTTCTATTGTAGTCTATATGTGAAATCTCTAAAAAAATGCAGAAAAAGTTAGACAAGAACTACTTTTGAAATTGTGCTGCAGCAAATCGCTTACGTTAAGACACTCACATTCACGTTCATTAGATCTGATATCAGGTACAATTTCAATTTCCAAATCGCACCTGAAATCGTGCACCCTGGATGTGACTTGGCATGCGATTTGCATGCCCTGAGACTTGTAAATCGCATGCCAAATTGCACCCGATGTGACTGAGGGCTAACACCACAGTCACATCTAATCCGATTTCGAAATTGGGCAACTTACAGTGAAGTCGCACGATTTCAAAATCAGATTGGATATAAATGGAGCCTATAGTGGACAATAGGGTGCGACTTGGCCTACGATTTGCAAGTCGTCTAGCATGCAAATCGCATGCCAAATTGCACCCGATGTGACTGGGGGCCACCCCGGTCACATCAAAGCGGATTTTGAACTGGTGCGACTTACACTACAGTCACATCATGTGACTTACAGTGAAGTCACATGATTTCAAAGTCGGGGGACATGCTGATTTAAAGTGCGATTTGCAAGACATCTGACACAGATCTCTCTGCAAACCGCATGAAAAGTAGTGTATTCATTACTTTAGAAATTGTTGTGGCTTCAACCAAGTTTGAACCACACCAATATGAACGCTCTAATAGCGGTCACATTGAGTGCGACTTGGCATGTGATTTGCATGACATGCGACTTGCAAATCGTATGCCAAGTCGCACCCTATTGTCTGCTATTAGAGCAGTCACATGGGTGCTTTTCCAACACTGATTTCTAAAGTAGTATATGTACTACTTTTGTGGCGATTTGCATAGATATGTGTCAGATGTCTTGCAAATCGCAAGGAAATCGGCATCTTCACTGTACGTCGCACAATTTCTCAACTGGCTTTGATGTGACCGGGTGTAAGATCTTTTTATGTTTGATTTCCTGAGTGTTTTTCCAATTTATGGGAAATGCCGCATACTAGCAAAAGTGAATTGACATTTTCAGTATTGTATGCGAGATGTGGTCATGTGACTGCCTTAACTCATGCGATAATCTGGAGTGAATTGTGCACATAGGGCCAAGAAATATTGCCAGTAGGGTTCCCTTTCACATCCCTGTTCAATGTTCTGTTGTATGCTGTACAAGTACACTTCACTGTGGCTTTCTGACTCTGATTTGTGGGGCCTGTATACCAAGGGTTAACGCAGGTGGGAAGAGAATTAATCAGGTGCAAACACTTTCTCTGACCAAATGAATGACAGTGGTGGGTGTGGCCTACCTTATATAAAGAGTTGCAGTAGTGGGTGATTTTTTTCCTTGTACAGGCCATGTTATTTTCTGCAAGTCCTTGTCTGTGGTGGTTTGGAGAGGAAGAGATATTGTGGTGAATTGCCCCAGGCCACACTTACTCTGTGTTTTGATGTGGTCTGTGTAAATGTTTTGCATTTTTTTTTTCCTTCTAAGGTGTGTTTGTGTGTTATTGTACAATGATTGTGTGTTTATTATCTTTGCATTGTAATCCTAACACGTCAATTGCTCTGCTCTTCCAAGTTTGCTTTATTTAGACTGAAATGCAGTTTTCAGACAAACCTGATGAGAAATGTATGTGTGGGGGATTTGGGGAGGTGAGAGGTGTTTTATTGTGGCACATATGTATTTTTATATTGATATTTTGATCTGCAGCCTGTTTTGTGGATAGGTAAGCGTACTACGTGATTCATATTAACGGTTTGTTTCCTGCTGTAACCTATGAAAGCACAGTTCATTAGAAGTATAATCTTTTAGATTGTAAACTCTTATAAGCAGGACCGTTCTATTTTAGCAACATCAATCCTGTTTTTTTTTTTTTCCCACCAAGAAATTGAATGTACCTACTTGTTGTTGCTGTCCAAATAAATGTGGAATGTGTATTTGATCAATAAACATTTGGACTATGTATTTTTGGGGGGATTATTTCATGGTCTAGTTGAATGTAGCACAGTGGCTAATTGGTTAGCACTTCCACCTGGCAGTACTAGGGTCGTTGGTTCAAATCCCAGCCACGGCATCTCCTGCCTGGAGTTTGCATGTTCTCCCTGTGCCTGCGTGGGTTTCCTCCAGGTGCTCTGGTTTCCTCCCACTCTAAAAACATGCTGGTAGGTTAATTGGATCCTGTCAAAATTGGCCCTAGTATATGTATGAATGTAAGTTAGGGACCTTAGATTGTACACCCCTTGAGGGTTAGGGACTGATGTGAATTTACAACATCTATATGTAAAGCGCTGCGTAAATTGACAGCACTATATAAGTACCTGAAATAAATGTGCTAGCACCCCTAACACATATTTTTTGCTAGCTATATAATATGCCCCAAATCTTCCTTGTTAGAGTGCACATATGCAAGTATGTCCAAACTAACAAACCAAAAGCCCCCCTATTGCACCACAAGACCATGTTATGTACCAATGAATAGGTCGTGTTCAATGTGCAGCTAGCTATTCTTTTTCTACAATCTTCTTAACTGTAATAAATTAGGCCCCAATTTATGTTGACTTTGGGCCTTTACCGGCAAATACATATTCGCCAATGTCATATACACAGTAGAGCTGCAAACATACATTCACCAATGTCATATACACAGTAGAGCTGCAAACATACATTCACCAATGTCCTATACACAGTAGAGCTGCAAACATACATTCACCAATGCCAAATCTACAACAGAACTGCAAACACATATTTGCGAATGTCATCTACACAATGGAGCTGCATGTAAAATTGCTATGGTGCACAAATAAAACGCCAAGACGGCTGTTGGCGGAGACGCTAGAGCAGCTGTTATACCGGAAATACATCATGACGTTTGCGGAAGGACGTTTGCACACACCCGGAAGTGGTAGTGGAGAGTGTTAATGGATGGGAGTGTAGTTAGGAGAGTTTAGTGGTAATTTGCAAGTCTATTTTTTTAGTTTTGTAAATTGTTCTTTTGTGGAATTCCAGACCACATCTGGACATGGCGAGATGTTTCCACCAAGGAGCTGATCCTCATTTGCCGGGAAACATTACTAATAATTGTATTTTTCAGTCGAAAACCTGTCCAATTCCTAGATCCATTGATGTACATAGCAGAGGTTCAAGGTATTTCATAGAAGAAATTATTGTTCTTCCTAACTATACAGGTGGCACAGACACAAGCATACACCCAGGGGCACTGTTAGATATCACGGGGCCCGTACAGCATACCTGACAGCCCCCCACCGCCAGAGAAAATCTCCTAATTATATACATTATAAATATTTTTAATGGACATAATCCCAACCATATTCCCGTGACATCTAAATGCTAAAACTGTACTGAATTCATAATTAAAAAGCTGTGTGTGTAATTGAGGTCTTAGGGGCTCATTCACATGGGTGCTGTGGTCTGTAGAGTAGGAATCAGTAGTTTGTTTTTGTGGCTATCGCCGTTTGCAGGCAACCTATGTTACACTATGGAAATGCTGCAGGTCATAATTTGACAAGCATGTGCAGGTGTACAGCTCTGAACACAGACAGTGAGCATTCAGGGCCACTTCCCCACACCTTCACACCTGTCAGATTAAAACCTGTGTTCATACAGCTGCTCTGTCCCCATAGTGTAACAGGTGGCTCCAACCACATGAACAACCCACTCATTCATGATGTACAGGTCAGAGGACCTGTGTGAATGGGGCATTTTTTTACTTTTTTTTTTTTCCTCAGCTCATTAATTTCAATGGGCTGATTAACGTGTGGGAACATGCAAAAATACTGCAGGCATATTATTTTAACAGTGTGTTGCACCTAACCGCACAGTAGTGTGGTGCCATGCGTTTTTTGTGGCTGTGAATGCATCTGTGTTTACTAGATGTGTGGAGGTGCAATTAAGTTTTCATCATGGTACCTGTGCACATCTGCAGAGGGCATTGCATTTCTTTGCTGTGCTGAAAAAAAAAAACATGCTCTTGCATGCGTTTCTGCACCACAAATTGTGTGAACAAGTGGTAAGGGCCAGTTCACACTATAGAAACACACAGTCTAGATGAGTTCCAGTTGCATTTTTGCATGCACTTTTTTGATGCAAGTTTAGCGTGTTCCAGAGCATTTTGGATGCATTTTTGATGTTTCACTGCATTTTGGATGCGTTTTTTGTGTTTCACTGCATTTTGGATGCATTTTTTACATGTTCCAATGCATTTTGGATGCATTTTTGATGTGTTCTAGTGCATTTTGGATGAGTTTGTGCCGTGTTCCAGTGCATTTTTTTTTATGCATTCCAGTTAATTTTTTTTCTCCTCTATTTTTCTTCAATTCAGTTAGGGACATGTGCCTATTAGTGCATTCCAGGGCGCTTACTGCATTCCAGTATAGTTCTATGCATAAACAATGCAGCCTGTGTTCTACTTTTTGGACAGCACCTACAACGCACTGGAACTGCAAGCGCTGATGTGAACTATGACATTGACAACCATATAACCTTCTTTCTGTGCGTTCTGGATGCAAAAAAAGCAACTGAAACACATGTAGTGTGAACTGGCCCTAAAGGTTATTATAAGTAAGGGAATGGGACTGACCAGGAATTGTGAATTCAATCAGACTAGTGGTAAGATACAATCAGGAATCGTATAATAATGCCAGATCTGAGCTGGAGGTGATAGGAAATGAGACACATTAACTTGATCAATAAATAAATAGTTAAATAAAAAGAGTGGGTTGGTGATACATAGATTTGCAGATGGAACAGGTGATGACAGGGGGAGGCGGTCAAGTTGTATAATGAGAGAGGTTTAAGAGCTCATTCACACTTGACTTTATTTCTAACTCTTGCCAAACAGCCCCATAGCATTTGACAGGTGTTTGGGAAGCGTTTTTAATGCTCCTCAAATGCCCTATGTGCGGATTTGAGGCATGTGATAAGCATTTACCAAGCGTTAAAAAACTGCACCACAAATGCCTGTAATGAAGTTAAATGGTATTAACGCTCCGAAAATGCCTTGCAACCACACCGCAAAGGAGGCATTTGAGGATAAACCACACATGCCATTCATAAGCACTCTCTGAGTTGGTACTCTCACACGTAGGCATTCCATTATTCAGGAATGATTATATGAACTTTTTTTTAGCACCATTTACCAGTTTACATCATTATTGCACTTTTTTGATTTTACATATGTTTATGATTGAGCACATGCATTTATAGCGCTGCACTATTACTTTAACATAGAATAGTTACATGATTAAAGAGAATGAAGATATATAATTATATTGAGAAATTAGAACTAGACATTCCCAATTATTTGAGATATAAGTGTGAAAATGTTTGACATTTGAAAATAGAATGTATGACATTCATTAGGAAATGCATTAGTTGTCTGATCATTTTGGAGAAACAGCAACCCAAAAAAAAAAAAAAAAAAAGGTGTAATTTTTACTTTAAATTATAAGTATTCTCATATGCAAACAGAAAACCGCCAACGGGACAAAGCTCGCGGTTGTGCACCACCTAGAAAACATATCCGGTATTGCATCTAGAAATGTGCCAGATGTGATTCCAGATTTACTAACAGGAAAAGAGTCTACAAGTTGAGTCTTTTCAATGAGTTTGCTAGACGCCTTTCTGAAGACGGACAGGTCTAGATTGATTGCGTCTGCCTGAATGTTCAGCATCTGCTGGTAGACTCAATTCTTAGTAAATCAGGGCCACACTGTTAACTGTGGGACCTTATATAGGCAGGTTTATGCCTTTCCTAAGCATGTCCAATCAACTGAATTTCCCACAGGTGGGAAATCAATCAAGTTGTGGAACCATCTCAAGGATGATCAGTGGGAATGGGAGGCACCAGAGCTCAATTTTGAGTGTTATTACAAAGGCTGTGAATACTTATGTGCATGTTTTTTTAATTTTTAATAAATTGCAAAGATTTCAAAATGAACTTTTTTCACATTGTCATTATGGGTTATTGTTTGTAGAATGTTGAGGGAAAAAATTAATTTAATTCATTTTGGAATAAGGCTGTAACATAACAAAATGTGGCAAAAGGTAAGCACTGTGAATACTTTCTGGATGCACTGTATACTGTACCTGGGTGTCAGCCATCAGAGGATGGAGGCAGATGCTCCATATTCTCAGCTGTAGAGGAGAAATCCCCACAACTTTCTCTCCTCTCTTTGCAGGGATGATAGTACAGGTTAAATGACTTTATTGGTCAACACACAGGTTTAGGTTGAGGTGAGGAAGGGGGCCATGTCATTATTCTTTCCTCTTTAAGGCCTTTACTGGCTAGCCACGCAGTGGAGTACTTTAAAGTGCATACAATGGAACATTGTGCTGCATAAACATCATTGTCTTTTGAAATATGCACTTTTTCCTGTACCACTGCTTGAAGAAAGTGTCTTATAAAAACTGGCAGTAGGCGTGGTGATTTTGAGTCCATCTCAACCCAAAAAGGTCTGACTCGTTCATCTTAAAATACCAGCCCCAACCAGAATCCCAAATCCACCCTGCTGGTGTCTGAGTCACAATGGAGCTCTGGGCCTGTTATCCAGCCACTGGCTTATCCATCTGGTCCATCAAGAGTCGCTCTCTCATTTTATCAGTCCATAAATCCTTTTAAATAAAAATCTGTCTTCAGATAAGTATTGGCCCAGTCAGACATTTCGACTTGTGTGTCTTGTTCAGTGGTGGTCAGCATCAGCCTTCCTTACCTTGGCCATATCTCTGAGCACTGAACACCTTATACTTCTGGGCACTCCCGGTAGGTTGCAGTTCTGGAATATGACAGCACTGGAGGATAATGGGTTGCTGGTAGCTTCAGGTGCTGATTCATCTCAAATCTTTGGCAGTGAAATTGTGTCTATTTTTTCTCTCAACACATTTATGCACACCTTGCTATAGGGCAGTGATGGCGAACCTTTTCGAGCCCGAGTGCCCAAACGGCAACCCAAAACCAACTTATTTCTTTCAAAGTGCCAACACTGCAATGAAACCTGAAAGTATCGAGCTTTTGGTTTTAGAAAAAACAACTCGTACAGTAGTGCAAACAATTAACAGTACAGGGATGACCAGGGACTAGCGGACACAGTACAGGGATGACCAGAGACTGCGGACACAGTACCCTCTTAAATGACCACAAGACTGCGGACACAGTACAGGAGATGACCAGAGACTGCGACACAGTACAGGAGATGACCAGAGACTGCGGACACAGTACAGGAGATGACCAGAGACTGCGGACACAGTACAGGAGATGACCAGAGACTGCGGACACAGTACAGGAGATGACCAGAGACTGCGGAAACACAGTACAGAGATGACCAGAGACTGCGGACACAGTACAGGAGATGACCAGAGACTGCAGACACAGTACAGGAGATGACCAGAGACTGCGGACACAGTACAGGAGGTCTGACCAGAGACGGCGGACACAGTACAGGAGATGACCAGAGACGGCGGACAGTACAGAGATGACCAGAGACGGCGGACAGCACAGGGATGACCAGAGACGGCGGACAGCACAGAGATGACTGCTGGGCCTTTGGGGGAGGGAGGGGGAGCGGGTACCTGAATTTGACAGGTACCCGCTCTTACTTCCGCAGAGTTTTTTTTTTAATCTTACCTGTTCCTTTATCCAGCCGCGCGCTGTCTTCCCGGCTTCTGTAGTGTGGGCGCTCGACATTTCGGACAGCTGTGATGCCCAGTGCGCATGCGCGAGAAGCGCTGCGCTTTTGTGATTGGTCCGGCGGCTTCTGGGATCTGTCATGTGTCCCAGGTAACCGCCTTACCATTCACAAAGAGCACTGCTTCTTGTGCATGCGCACTTGGGACCCCGGCTGTCACGCACACTACAGCCAGGAAGACAGCGCGCCGCTGGATTTCTCCTGGCGTGCATCACAGATAAGGCTCGGCGTGCCGGCTGTGGCACGCGTGCCACAGGTTCGCCATCACTGCTATAGGGTGTTGATCTCCTTAGGGCACACCCTCCCTCCTTACACAAATACACATCACCTGACCTGACCACATTGAGACCTCTTCTTCCTCTCCAATGATTGATGTATGCCACTGCTGTGACATCATCTGACTGAATCCAGATTGGATGATGTCCAGCATTGGAGGGACAACCAAACCATTTGTAGCTTGAGGATATCAAAGGAGTAACAAGATTCCGCTAGTGACTCCTACCCAGTCTGTCAGGCTGACATATGTCTTGAGAATCTTCCAGACTGATGGAAGGAATTTCTCCAACTCTAGGGCAAGATTCATCAGCTACCAGGCCACAGAAAAGTTCATCCTGGGACTCTGGAGACAAGTAAATTCATAAAATTAAGAGACTGTTACTTACTTATTGCAACAGTCAGGAGCGGAATTGGGCATATAGAACTGTCCTGAAGGAAGCAACCATCAAGTCCAGAACCCTCATGCAGAAGAGTAGAGTTGGCAGACTCCTGGACTGTTGAGTCTGAACTCTGGAACATAAAAGGTCAAGACACCATCTTCTGGAGGTTGTCTGATAGGGTTTGAGCTGACTGCTCTCTCAGCAGGAAGTCATCCAGCTATCCCGTGATGAGGATGTCCTGTGAATGCAGCAGAGCAAACACCAGGGATAGCACATTAGTAAATACTCAAGTGCAGTGAACGGACTAAAGGGAACGGCAACAAACTGGAAGAGTTGCATGCTCACAGCAAAAAGCAGGTAGTTTTGATGAAATGGAACGATAGGGACATGCAAATAGGCAAATAAATGGGGAAGGGGAGAGAGGAGCCCAATGAACTAATATAGTGTAGTATGTCAATTTATTAAAAAGATCTTAGAGAGTGGGATGCAAAGTCAGGAGTGTAGCTAAAAGTGCAAGAGCTTGAGCCGCTGTGTGCATTAGCAAATCAGTGGTTTGGCAGATCACTGGATCCAAAGCTTTACTGGAAAGGACTGTCATGCAGGAGAGGAAGAGCAGCCTGGTAACACCACCAAGGGAGTGAGTGTGTCTGACTCCAAGGAACATGTTTTCGGAAGAACAAACTTCCTTCATCAGTCTACTTGCAAGTAGGTATCCTTGATGGCCTCAGAAACCAGAAGATCTCCAAGCTAGAGGAATCAATGCCTTACCAGGTGGATTCAATGCAGAAATCATGCATGCGAATTAAGAGATTAAGGGTAGGAATTCAATAAAACAATTACAACACTTTTCTGGTGGTATGGTCCCTTTAAATGGCCGTCACCTATTCAGAAATGCCTTGCAATAGTTCATTTGGAAAATCTGACAAGCATGCCAGAACCAGGTAGTACTTATTTCCAGTGCTTTAAAAATCTGACACTATGGCTGCAACAGATCAGGAAAGAATTACCTGCTTATTTCATAGGACATCCCCAACTTGGGATATCTGGACAGTCTTCAGCAGTAACGGCTTTCTTTGGGCAGAGAGCAAAAACTGCAAATTGTTGTCCCCTGGATACTATATCTTTGGCCCATGCATCTGAGATGCATTTGGTCCAGGTGGTCACAATGGCTAATAAACGACTTCCCCGCACTTTGAGAGGTGGTGACAACCCCTCATTATGAGAAGAACATGCGCACTTGTTTCGAAGGCTTTGGAGCTGGACTTGGTCCAGTTCTTCTTAGCCTCACAAGTAGAATGTTTTACATACTGAGGCTTAGTATTTTTTTTTTTGTGGCTGGAGTAAAAGGGTAAGGTCTCCTCCACTACTATCCTTGATAAAGGTGTACATTGTTCATCTCCAAACGGCTTACGCAAAACATTTTTTTTAAACGGATATTCCGCTGCATTATCAATTAACACTGATCCATGAGCTTTTAGACATATTCTAGGACCAGACACCCAGGGTCTGGCAGATAAACATGACAGCAAGGGCAGGTTGCAGGGCAATGCCTGCTGGGGGGAAAGAAGGCATGGAAAGGGACTTTCAGTCTTAAAATGGTAACCAAACCCAAAAACTAAAATAATATATTGTAGCTTGCCAGTCATTGGATGTGGTCGCTGCATTAGTATTTTTTCTTTGGAAGGCTTAGTTCCTTTATTTTCATGTGGTGATCAGCCAGTAACACAATTCTTGTCTCTGGGTGGCTACATAAACTCCTCCACTGTATCTATGGAGAAGAACATAGCCACCCTTTGGACAGAAGAATTGTCAGTGGAGAGGGTAGTGTTGAAAGGACAAGTAGATTGAGATGGCCTTTACATTAGTGAACAATTTAAAGCCCAACTCCAGCTAACACTTATCAGTTACAGCAATAGTTTTTTTTTTTCCGTTTGAGATATATATTTTGTCTCAACCTTGTAACTGCTGTTTTTGCTGGACAGTTTGGTCTGTTAAAGGAAGATGAAATACAACAAATTTGCTGCCAGAATCATCAAGTAATACATTATGTTACAGGGGGGATTCAGAAACATACACATACAAATCATTACAGCCCTTGTGTCTAGAGTGTATGATACATGAATGAGCTGTGGCTCATGATGCTGCAAGTTAACCCTAAAGGGGGAAACCGTAGCAGATGCCAAGTTCCACAAATAAGAGCAAAGTTTAGTTACTTCCTGAGGTCTGGATGGCAGCCTGCAGCAAACAAATGTACAAGAAGTGCCTAAGCAGGACCCAGTGAACCATGCGCATACCAGGCTTCCTTAACCCCTCCAGTGGGCATACTCAAGGAGTCTTCAACGACAAGGGGCAGAATTCTACCAGTGAGTGTATCATGGGCCTGGACATGTTAAGCACTCTGCCTTGGGTGCTCTCCAGACACCTGGTGTGCTGTGTTAGCTGCATCTCAGTTCTGTAAGGTCACATTACAAGCTGGCCCTGCATCTTCATCATAGTGGGGGCCTGGTAATGCCTTCAAAATTGTGCCAAGTAACTGCATAAGACTACTCTCAGTTCTGCAGTAAGTGGAGAAAAAAAAATGTCTGAGGAGAGATGTCCATTCCCCTAGAACACTAGCTGACTAACAACTTTGTTTGCAAGTGTCCAATCTCCTGTAGACAGTAGTATAAACACATACCGTTAAGTCCATATTTAGACACAGGCAACATTTTCATACTTTGGCTCTCTATGCCACCAGCATAAATTAAAACGAAACAATCCAAATGAATTTGAAGTGCAGACTTTCAGCTTTAATTTAAGGGGTTGAACATAAATATCAAGTACAAATTTTTCGGAACTGCAACCATTTTTATACACAGTCCATTTTCAGGGGTTCAAATGGAAGGGGACAAATGAATAAAATCATAAATAAAATATATTCATTTTTAATATGTTGCTGAAATTCCTTTACTGGCAATGACTACCTGAAGTCTGGAACCCATGGACATTACCAAAGACTAGGTTTCCTCCTTTCTGATGCTTTGCTAGGCTCTAACTTCAGCTGTCTTCAGTTGTTCTTGTGGGTCTGCCTTCGGCAAGAAAAATGCAAGCTCAGTTGGATTGAGATCAGGTGAATGACTCAGCCATTGCAGAATATTTCACTTTTCCTTCAAAAGCTCCTGGGTTGTTTTTGCAGTGTGTTTTGGATCATTGTTCATCTGACCTGTGAAGCTGAATCTGGGCTGACAGTATCTCTCTAAACACGGCAGAATTCCTCCGGCTGCTTCTGTCATCAATAAACACCAATGATCCAGTGCCACTGGAAGCCATGCATGCCCATGCCATCACACTGCCTCCACTATGTATTACAGATGATGTTGTGTGCTTTGGATCATGAGCTGTTCCAAGTCTTCTCCACACTTATTCCTTCCCATCATTCTAGTAGAGATTAACCTTAGTTTCATCGTCCAAAGAATGCTTTTCCAGAACTGGTCTATTTTTTTTTATTTTTTTTCCAAAAAGAAAGCCTTTATTAAGAAAGAACATAATGGTACAAAAGACATGTACAGGGTGCCTAAGCGAAACAGCAGGCACAACCTACAGCGATACAGCAGTAACTCAAACAAGAAAATACAGATAATGATAATGCAATAATACAAAACCCGACTACAATAAGGTTATGCTTGCAACAAACCGGAGCCAATATAGTATAGTATGGGGTGTAATTGCATCTTATAATATCCCCTGCGCTCGTGCTTCGCCAAGCAGGGCTGTAGCGATAGGAAGAGTGATCATGGCATCTGAACGTAGGAATTGGACAAAAAACTTATGGCAAGGTGGAGAGTTACAAAATCGGCACATATTGCGGTAGGAGCCGTTGATGGAGGTGGGGAGAGTGATAGGATGGCATGTCTAGTGTTCCAGGTAGCATAGCAAAGCGAGAGGCGAGAAGAAAAGAGAAAGGAGAAAAGAGAGAAAGGGAAATAGAGAGAAAAGTGATAGAAACAGAAAGAGGGGGATGGAGGTGGAAGGTGAAGAAAAAAAAAAAAAAAAAAAATTTGCAAAATAAATTAATGG